TCTAGTGAAATGGGTTTTTCAGTCTTTATTATATGTCCTCGCCACAGTCACCAGACTCTCTGGAAAATGATGAAGGCCTTACGTAAAATCAGACTGACACGGATCACTGAAACGCCGTGGCATAGCTGAGAGAAGCCAGCCCGGTTTTAAGCCCGGGCTCCTCCCACAGAAAGTGAAAGTCAGGGCCACTGCGCTGTTGTGCAAAGGGCTGGGCTGACTCAGGATGTTTTCTCTGCGTTGGAAGTGCTGACGGGGAGCCAAGGTTTATCTTTCAACACCCATGCCTGAGCAAGTTCAGACAAAGTGTTCCTACTTCTAATTTGCTCTGCTTTCTTATTCGTCTGGTAGATTTCCTTCATAAGGGACAGAAAAAGCTGTGGACATTCATACACAGAACACAAAAATGCACGGGATAACAGTATTTCAAGGCCTCAAATGTGGCTGCGCAGCTGATAAAAGTACAGACTTTGGAATCGGTCAACTGGATTTGACTGACTCTGCAAATCATTAGCAACAGGACTTGGATCTCTGTTCCCTTCCCTGTAATGTGAAAATACTGAAAGCATCTGTCACATCGATTTATTGTGGGTGTTAAATAACATACAGGAAGCACCTAGCCCTGTTCCCAACACCTAAAAAAGTACTCAGCAAATATTAGCTATTATTTATTATTATTATCGTTGTTGTTATTATTAGTCTGCTATATGCCAGGCACTGTATGAGGCTCCTTGTACATTCTCACTGCATGGTAATGAAAGACCTGCAATGTAAATATAACTAGGGCTCTTTATAAATTACGAGACAGAGGCTCAGAAAAGAGACCAAGAAACTAGCTGGTAAGAGTAGGGAAAATTATTTAAAGCCAGACCTCTTTGCCTCCAGGCTCTTAATTTATTCATGTCCCGTAGCATACAGTGCCAGTCACATGTGACTATTTAAGTTAGTTACTATTAAATAGAAAATTAGCTCCTCAGTTCCACTCGCTGCACGTCAAGTCTCAATAGCCATATGTCAGTGCCAATAGCTACAGTACCAGCCAGCACAGACACAGAATATGTCCGTCAGCTCAGAAGTTCTACCTGACAACACCGCAGCCTCCGACCAACACCAGCTCTCCAGGCTGGTTTGTTCCCTACAGGACATAAGATATTCTTCTAAATATCACAGCAAAGGTTCATCAATAGATGAGTTAACTCTTTGTAATCAAGATAACCCATTTGTGATATGGCCATGTAGATGATACTGATCTACCGGACAGTCTACACAAGAATGAAAAGCCTGGCCTTAGCCAGGTTTTCACAGTGTCTGAGAGCTAGGAGGACCCTCAGTCGTGGTTTAGACAACCCTGTTGTTCAATAGTGAGAACTGATGACGGTGGGAAATCCTAGTCAGTGTGCGAACACCGCAGGAGTCTCCAACATTGCATCCGCCCACCTCTAACCCTCTATGGGCTTATGCTTTTCATTTGGGGTCAATAAACTAAATCTGTTTTAAATACCGTTTAAGTTTCTAGCTATCGTCTACTTAGAGTAAGCTTTGGAAAGAGAAGATAGCGATTTGTTATTATGTCCTTAACGCTGACATTTGCCCAGGAAAGTTTTCTCCTAACTGGAAGCCAAATGACTTGTCTAGTCAGGCACTATTTATAACATTTATCACCTTCTTTTTATTTATAACCTTCTTTCTGCAGACTCTCTTGATTGGTATCAGATACTACAATCTGGAAATTTTAAATAGAAAGAACAAATGGGATGGCAAAGCAAACAATCACGTAACTGAACCTTGAGAACAAAGCCAAGCAGACTGCCCCTTGAGAAGAGTCTCTTTCATGTAAAACCAGTCCTGTTTGATTTTAGAAGGAATAGTTGAGGCATGAGAAACAGACCTGGGGCCCTTGATGCGTGTAAAAGAGTAGGCAGCACCCTAGAAGGAGCATAAAGGGCCAGAAGATCGGATACCTCTGTGGTGTCCTGAACGTATTTCAACTACAGATCTATCACACTGTGTTTCCAGTGTCAGTTCCCGTGTCCTGTTCTCCCACAGATTATGAGCAACATAAAACCTATTGCCTAGCACAGTGTCTTACAACATGGTAAAATATTAGGCTTATGAAAAAATAAACCAAAGAATAATGATTAAGTAGCTGATATAATCAAGGAATACCAAGAATTTGTATGTTAAACCACCCCCTCTCCAGAAATAAAACAGTATAACCATTATCCCAAAACCTTCACACCTCATTGTCTGCTATTGCTGTAGCCAACCCCCTTTGGTGGGATGCAAAGTGACTCATATGCTGAGCTGTTTCTCCTTACCCAAGTGACTTGGTTGATATTAAATTCTAAGGTTCTCTCAAATGTAAGAAGTACTGGATAAGCAATGCTTTAAAAAAAGATAAGAAGAAGTAAGGTTATTGTTCTTTGAGGTTGGTTGGTCCCAAAGAAAGAGAAGAGTTAAAAGGGGCAATTAGGAATCATTAGCTGGATATAAACTCAACTTCCTGAGAAGATACAATAAGTCACTTTGGTCTGTGGAATGTATTCAATACTAAAGAATATAAATATAGCTCAAAAAGAATTAATTCAATAACCAGGAAGGCCTAATTTACAGTTTGCAATTTAGGCCCCAGAAGTTCTGCCTCATGCAAGCTGTTAGGCTCAATGACCCAGAAACTTTGGTAATATATGCATGCATAGTCTGCCTGGGTCTTCCCACATACACACACCTACTCACTTCTGCAAATGCCCTTATGTCACTAGCTGGTAGAAGAGCAGGAAGTGGCTTTCTGCACCTGCCTGTATCTTTTTATTCCGAAGGCCACTATCTGACTGCCAAGAAATCGTTGTTTCTGCAGAAATAGCCATGTTGACATCAGAGGGAATGATTTCCAGTCTACAATTACAACAAGGGGACATTGACCAATCCCTCATGCATAAATGGGAAGGAGGCTGTTCAGGTTGTGTGCTCTAACATGACAAATATTTCCCAGTTAGAAAACTGAGACATTGCTTAGATGGTATTGAGATCATAAATTCTCATGCTGTCACTTGTTAGGAAGGTTTGCCTTCCTAATGCAGATTTATTTCTGAAAAACAAAGAAATCAAATGAATTAGCTAGACTTAAGTCTTTTCTAAAATGCAGTTTTAATATGAGTTATTTTCTTTGTGTCCCACCTCCTTTGGGAGACCCTGGTTTACAGTCAAATTATTTTTTATATTTGTTTTCCTTTGTGTTTTCTTCAAAGTACACATTTTAATGAGCAATTTAATCATACAGAATCAAAGAATGCATTTGACTTTCTTGTGGCTTTATCACCAAGGTGTCCGAGCACCCCAGGACCACACTTTTTATCTTCTCTTCCCCATAGCCAGATTTTGTTGACTCCAGAGTACAAGTCAGCCCCAGAAAAAGCTTCTTATCAGATGAAGTAAGAGAGAAGGAACTGTACCTCTCATGGGAAACACGTCCCCCACTCCCAAGGACTAGGCATGTGATGTTCTAGTCCACCATTCCGATTTTATCATCTGCTTGGAATTAAGCAATAAGACTTGGCTGCTAAAACACAGTATTCAGGTTTGTTTCTAAACAGTGTCCAGAGAAGTTCTAAGTACATAGAGATCAAGAGCCATCCATAAGCTAATCTACATTCTCTCAACAAATGTAACGTAATGAATACCTGTCATGGATCAGACATAGTAGTAAGCAGGGGGCATATAAGTAGACTGATTAGCATGGTCCCAGGGGGAAAATATGGCAACTTGGGCATTTGTAATATGACTAAAATTTAATAAATTCCATGAGAAATCAAAGGTTGACTTCATGAAACTTGTCCCTCCTCTGAGGTTATCATTGTGTTTAAAAGCAGTGTAATCCCATCTGGTTTCTTCATTTTCTTAATTCACAGAATGTCAGTACTGGGGCTCAGAACTTCAGCTACCTACTCTGAATTTTGAAGATGTCTTAAAAAGTGATGAACATGCACACAAGTGGCTCTCCAGCCTCAAGAAAGTAGGCATAGTGCGACTCACAGGAGCATCCAACAAACGAGGAGAAATTTTAAGACTTGGGAAAAGGACTGGTTTTCTTTATCTCACATTTTATGGGTGAGTTACCAAATAGTTCATATTCTGACATTATATATAAAGTTTAATATATTTCTCAGAAGGGGTAGAGTTTTGGTTGGAGATACAGAAATTTCCAGACTATCTTGAGCAGAAAGTGAGCTAAGAAGCTAAGTTTAAAAGTGAGATTTCTAGTGAGAATCACTGGAATTCTTAAGAGGTCTAAAAGCCCAAAGACATCAGGCTAGTTAAAGGTGTATATTAGTTTGCCTGCACTGCCATAAGAGAACAACATAGACTGGGTGGCTTAAAGGACAGAAATTTACTTCCTCGCAGTTTGGAAGGCCAGAAGTTCAAGATCAAAGTTCCAGCAGGGTTGGTTTCTGGAGATACCTCTCCTGGCCCTCAGATGGCCACTTTCTCACATCTCCTCACATGGGCTTCCTTCTGTGCACCCACACTCCTAGTGTCTGCTCCTCTTCTTACCAAGCCTAGAGGCCCCACACTTGGAACTTAACCTTGATTGCTTCCTTACAGGAGCTCTCTTCCAATAGAGTCACACTGAGGGTTAGTTAGGGCTTCCTCATGTAAATTGTGGAGAGAAACAATTCGGTCCATAACAGGTGGGGTGGAAGACTATGTTTCTTCAAGATTTTTATAAAATATTCAGCTCCACAAATGTTAAAAGCCATTAAAATTTTACCTCCCAAGAGTTTGTGAAAAATAAAATCAGGCCCTGGAGGATTGAGTCCAGCCACCAGATTGTTTAAAAATAAAAAAGATAAAATTAACATGCAGAAAATTAAGTCTGTGAACTTAAGCAAGTAACAAAAAATGTAATTCATTTTAACTTTGGAACAAGAAGCGGTTTGCATAGGAATTGCTGGGAGGTAAAACTAGTTATGGATGATGAGACACTAACAACAGAAAATACTTACCTGGAAGTGGGGGCAGGACTTCATTTCTGGTCTTGAGGGTGAGCCTCTCATGTGCAGTGAAGACAATGATTCTTGGGCTCGTAGAGTAGAGGGCACTGGAAGGAGAAAGGGCCTTCAAAATCCGAAGGTTGGAAACTGGTAGCAACAGACTGTATTTAGATGTGTTTTGCTGGGCCTAGGTGATATTCAAAGAAAATGATATTAGTCATCAATCCTTAAAAACTGGGAGATTTTACATGACATATGGACCTGACATTTCTTGGAAAAATCAAGTCTGGCGATAACTGAGCCTAAATTCCTGCATGCTGACAACCTGCTGGTCCAAAGCAGAGGCTGCTCCTGGAAGACAGCATGTGTTCACTCCCCAGTTTGCCAAAGGCCTTCCCCAGCCCTGCTGGCCTTCAAGTTTGCCGCCAGAATCTATAGTAAGACCTCATCTGTTAATAAACAGAGGATTGAAAAACTCGATTACTTGCCTGCCCCCACTGATTTCAGCAAGTTAATTAATTGCAGAAGATGCTATCGATGCTATCCTATTTCGACTCGAATGACCATGCCCCTACCACCCCTCCAAGAATGTCTCATAAAATGTGTACATTCCCTACATCTGTGAGGATTTGAATGGCCTTAGGGATCACAGCAGTCACAGGCAAACAAAAAAAGGAGGAAAAGCCTTGAAATTACTAAAAGCCTCAACTGTATTATTTGTTCTTTATTTAATTTTCACAATTTTCTGAAGTAGATACTATCTTCCATTTCACTCTAAGGAATCTGAAGCCCGGAGAATTAAACCATAACCCACTTTCCCAACACATAGCTGAAAAGGAACCAGAGCTGGGATCTGGGTCTTTTCTGTCCCCTTGGCTTCCTAACCCATGTCACTACCAATAATAAAAAGGAAGAACATGGCAAAGATGCTTGCAGGCATTGGATGTAAACAGAACATTTCAAAATAAATATCTTCTACATTGTTGCACTTAGCTTTTATTTACTGACAGCAGACTTTTTGTATCTATGGCAACATGTTCGACAACTTCATAAGAGTGGCCAAATTGGGGGCTCTTCACTGTAGTCCTGTTAGTCCTACCCTCACCCATCACAAAAGGGTCAATTCTGCAACCTGTTTTTATGACTTGTATTCTGTTTTATTGTTATGAATAGTAACAAAATAATTTGGCCACTGATCTAATATTGTGAAATATATTGGAATAAAGACTAAAGGTTCCTTGTCTAAATAAATCAGACCTCCTACTATTATTCCGTGCCCTTTGTCCAAGCCCAACGCATCAAACCGGATAGGTTTAACCTGCCAGTCCTCAGCTCACCTTCCACAGGTGATCACACTTCTCTCCTGAATCTCTCAAGTGCCTTTCTTGCCACCCTACCGCTTCTCTCAGCACTCATCATCAAGATCTCTCCTTTTTGGGGGGTCGTGGGACACTTTTTCATTTCCTAACTTAAGAAGTTACAGAAGAAGACAGTCTCACTGTTGTTGCTTTGTATTTTTTGCTTATTTGTAGGTTTAGTTGTTGTTGTTAAGAAAATGATAAAAGCATTTTCCCTGCAGTTACTTTTCTTTTCCGCTCCTTTCCATAGTAATGTGGGGAAAAGATATTGTAGTTTGGGTAGCAATGGTTCTTAACCATTTAAATAGCCAATTTAAAAAATATGCTGATGTTTGGGTCCACGCTTCAGAGGTTTTTCTTCTTTTTAAGCATGACTTGGATTTGGCCTGAGTATCAGGAATTTTTAAAACTACAGGTGATTCTGATGTGCAGCAATGGTTACAAACCTCTGGCTGAGAGGAAGTGTCCTTCAAGAGAAGGCAAGTAACTTGGGTGCTACACATCCTCTCAGCTCTCACAGTTATATGCCCTAAATGGCATTTAGCATGTTCGTCTTTGTGCTGTGCCAATGCCTGGTCATGACATCTTCACAATAGAACTAGTAGCTGCCTAGGCCAGGGCCCCTCCCTTTGCTATCTGTGTTTCTACACTGGCACAGTGCTTCCTTCTTGTTTGAAAAATGATTGCTTAGCAAGAAAGTGTACATAATGAATGAAGGCAATAAATAATGAATGAGAGGGACTTGCCTGTCTTAGGAGAGGGATAGAATATGGAAAGTGGGTAAAGTCAAAGTGGGTAAAGTTAAATCTGTGTTTTTCACACAGATTTTTCAGGGAGCCTGGTTTCCACTCCTGCTTAGATGCCAAAAGCAGTCAACAGTGAGGTGTTATTTTACACACACCTCCCTTGGGAACCAATACCCACTTAGCACCTTTCTATTCAATTAGGGTCATATTTGGAGAATTCGAATTGCATCAGTCTAAAATGAAAAGTATAATATCTAGTTTTGATTTTTGGCTGTCATCTCAGTTATTAAATTGTTGATTGGATGAACAAAAACAGTAGGCTCCAGCATTTTGTGCAGCCTGGGTATATAGTGGGCAAAGAATAAATGTTTAATGAATAAATGCATGCCTAGATGCTTTTAGAAGACTACAAAGCAGCAAATGAATGCAATAATTATTAGAGCATTTTATAATTATAAGAGTATGTTCAACTTCTAAATCAAAAATTATAATAATAACACTGGGGACAAAAGTGCATATCATACATCACCTACATCTGTTTTATCTCAGTTGCTTGCCATTATTCTGTCACTGCATCGTCTAAACCAGGGGTATCAAACTCATTGTCACTGGGGGCCACATCAGCCTCCCAGTTGCCTTCAAAGGGACTATATAAATGTAACTACTCCCTAACTGTTAAGGAGTTGAAATTACATTTCGCCTTTGAAGGCCACCATGAAGCTGATGTGACCCCCAGTGAAAATGAGTTTGACACCCCTGGTCAAGACCATACTTTTTTTCACACAACCATGTAAAATGCTCAGTCTCCTAATGCCTTGATGATGAAAGCATTCCTGGGAGAAAAGAATAAGTTGATAAAGAAACTTCCATTGTCATCAAATATGTATCAAATATGTATACTTGTAGGACAGTACATAAAATGATAACTTCTTTAGAAGGATTTAAAGCTTTGATTCAGGGAGATGTAGTTTTTACAGGGTGAGGCCAAATATCTCATCCCAAGTCCCTGACCCCCACCAAAAAAAAATCAATAAAAAATGGCTTTCTTTATTGAAGAAGTTGTCTGAATTTTATGACATAATTTAACCTAATGGGAAATAGTACTTGCTCAGTCCCCACACTCTTCTCTCTCAGGAAACTTTCATGAAAGGGAATATATGCTAAGATATTGAGGGCATCCACTAAGCGAAACATCAGGAATGCTTTGTTAGCATTGATGACACTTACCAATCCTTAGTTAGAAAATTAACCTCAAGACTGACTCTGACTCACCCTTCTTCATTAGAAAGTCAGTGGGAGACATTAAAAATTTCAGCCTTGCCCTGGCTGGTGTAGCTCAGTGGATTGAACACGGGTCTGCAAACCAAAGGATCACGGTTCAATTCCCAGTCAGGGCACATGCCTGGGTTGCAGGCCAGTTCCAGCAGGGGACCCATGAGAGGCAACCACACACTGATATTTCTCTCCCTCTCTCCTTCCTTTCCCCTCTAAAGATAAATGAATAAAATGTTTTTAAAAAATCAGCCTTAACTAGCAAGACCAACTTCTTTCCAGAATAAAGCCCAGAAGATCAGATTTCCCTCTGTCAAAAATATTTTATTTGCTGGCATGAGCAAGTTGCATTAATATACTTGTAGTAATGATTAGACTAGTAAAAACAATGAAGGAAAAATTAAAAAAATAGGTTTTTCTGAAATGTTAGCATCAGGAACAAAGTCAAAACAGTGAGGGACAATGAAGAAAATGGATAAAAGAAAAGAAACTTATCCATGTTGGTGATAGCTAAATTTTCTCTTGTAGAAACAAACATGGAAGCTGTGCAATCCCTGACAAAACTTATACCACCACACATTGTAGAGAAAATACAAATAAATACTGTGGAACACTTAGCTCCAGAAAGAATTGAGGAGCCAATGCCCCAAAGCATTTGTATTCCGTCACCACCCAGAGAGCTGCCCAGAGGAACAATGGGAACACAATATATTCATGCCTCCTCGGCAGGTTATTTGGAAGTGACCAGCTGATCCAAACCTTTCATTTAATTCCCTGGAGCTCTGTGACTCTCCTGAACTGAGGACTTGCTTTTCTCCTTCCATAGAGGCGTTGGAATACCTGCCATGCCCTCGGAGACCTCCAGATAAAAATTTGCTGGAAAAAATGTAAAATTCTACTACTACTGCCCAGCTTTACCTCAGCATGAGTGCCTTGCATGGAGGCTTCTTGAGATGAATGAGATGTCAGACAGAAAATGTTTCTAGTGGGCTTTTTGGCAAGTAGGCCAGGAGGTCCAGTTAAGAATTAAGAAAACTGAAGTGGCTTCTGAGGACTGCAAGTATTTCTACTGGTATTTCTGTGTGCCAGCGTGGCAGCATCCCCCACATGAGGTTGTAGTAGAGACTCAGGGGGTATAAGTGAAAAATATTATTATTCCTTGGCATCTGTGCCCTTAGAAATTGCTACTACCATTAGTACTGCCTCCAAAGTTGACTTGGAGGCAGCTACTGGGCTAATATACATGTTACCAGGAAACATTTGTGAAGTGTGGTTGGCTGAACAGGAAAAGAAAAGAACAAGTTTACCCATTTTGTTGAAGTTCTAGCCAATGAATTGCTTGAGAAAACCACAGAGCCTATTCTGAATAAAAATGGCTTCTGAGTTATAAAAAAAATCAAAACAAAACCTAAAAGCAATTCAGACTTGGGAAGAAGGCAAAGAAAACTTGTCTGAGTTCTGAATTTAGTTGTAATTCCATCCCACTTGGTAAAAAGTTCACACGGGGATTTCTTAATGAGCTGTTCTAAGATTTAGTACCAAGCACAGTGTTTGACTCGGGTCAGGGGCCTTTAAAATGTGTGTTCTTGCGAGTATTAGGGTTTCCTAAGCAGAGTTACAAGCTATGTTCTTTCAGCCATTGTGAACCCCAACTTATGTTATCAGCCAAGTCTCGGTCCCTGGTATTTCTTCTGTAATATCAGGGTTCATTGTCATTAAAGTTGCTGCCAACAAAACCACTTGAGTATGAGGTCATCTCATGAATGAAAGGAAAAAGAACTTTGTGTCTGGTGCTCCTCTAGAAATCATTT